TCGGACGCTTAACCGACTGCGCCACCCAGGCGCCCCAAGTTGCCTTTTATTAGTTTTATTGATTGTTACCTTTGCTGTGCAGAAACTTTTTATTTTGATGAAGTCCCAATAGTTTATTTTTGCTTTTGTTTCCCTTGCCTCAGGAGACTTATCTTGAAAAATGTTGTTTTGGCTGATGTCAGAGACATTACTGCCTGTGCTGTCTTCTAGGATTTTTATGGTTTCAGGTCTCACATTTAGGTCCTTCATCCATTTTGAGTTTATTTTTGTGTATGGTGTGAGAAAGTGGTCCGGTTTCATTCCTTTGCATGTTTTCACAGCACCATTTATAAAAGAGACTTTTTCCCATTGCATATTCTTGCCTCCTTTGTTGAAAATTAATTGACCATATAATCGTGGGTATATTTTTGAGCTTTCATTCCATTGATCTGTGTGTCCAGATTTGTCATTTTTGAAGGCAAATGATCAAATGTTCAACCTGACTAGTAATAGAACAGTGCATATTACATGAGATTATTCACACCTATCAGGTGAAAAGTTATAAATTCTGTTAATACTAAGACTGGGTGAGGAAGTGTCCATCAGCAAAACCACTTCAGAGAGCACTTTGTCAATACTTAGTGAAGTGGAAAGTACGTATAACTGGGACAGCACTTCTAATTATGCATACCAGAGAGATCCTACCCACGGAGACACGTTCAGGGATGCCGATTGCAGCACTGTTGGCTGATGAAAAATTGGAAGCACCTTGGATATTTATCATTTAAAGGAGTAGCTAAATAAATTTGAAAATTTGATCTATCCAGCATATAGTTAAAATGAGTCATGTTTATGTGATGATACCTTGAAAAAAGAATGTAAAATATACGCTATTTTTGTAAAAATTTTAAATGTACAAAGCAATACTATACATTATTTGTCAATACATATACAAGTTTCTTTGCATATGTAAACATAAATATACCCGTATATTCACAAAAAATATCCCCATTTATTCATAATAGACCTGTCTATACATAATATACCTGTGTATTTTATGGCATGCATGTATGTGTATATGCCTGTCTGTGTGCATATAGCTATGTGTGTGTGTTTCCATTTGGAATGTGAAGGATACGCCAGCCTCAGGCTAGTGCTCTTCCGTGTGATGGGGGAGGGAAAATAGGCAGAAGGGGTTTCAACTGGGTCTTTCATGTTTTGCAGATTTAAACATTCTTAGTCAAAAATAGAAAGCCTTAGTGTTGAATCTGGGTGGTTGTATGTATGGGTTGATTTTTGTTCTCTGTATTTTTATATATGTGTGAAGCATTCCACATCTATGAAAAATGAATCTAAATCAACAGGGATCAAATAATTGGGGCCTGCAACACTGCTGTGTGCTGAAGCATGCCTTAAATAGACCTGTGAGTGGTATCGTATCTGGGTTTTGGAATCTTCAAATGATAACTACTTTTGGTAGTGTTACTCTGGAAAAGATGCCTGTGATGACCTGGGAGGTGGGGGGGGGGGTTCTTTTCCTTCATTTTTCTTAATAAGATTTTTTTTTAAGTTTTATTTATTTATTTTGAGAGTGAGAGAGCACGAGGTGGGGAGAAGCAGAGAGAAGGAAAGAGCGAACCCCAAGCAGGCTCTGCACTGTCAGCATGGAGTCCAACGTGGGGCCTGAACCCACAAGCCGTGAGATTGTGACCCGAGCAGAAACCAAGAGTCGGACGCTTGGCCAACTGAGCCACCCAGATGCCCCTTCCTCCATTTTTTTAAATCAAATTTTTCATTGCTCCTTAGGTCAGCTGCAACTTGGAACCTCACCTGAGAGGCAATGTGTATGTTCAGTACCAATCGTAAGTATTTGGAACATAAACATCTTCACGTTTTGTCATGGTATAGTGTTGTGATTATGTTGCCATCTGGGGTTCTTCCACTAAATATATCGCTTTCATATGCATGGTATTTTTAAAAATGTAAATATCAAGAGCTAATATAGAAATCTATATAGAAGGGATTTGAAAATGCATTTGTATTTTATCCATTGTACACTTAACATAGTTTTGAGTCTTTTGCAATGGTTATTTTTTACTTACATAGTTTTAATAATTAAAATACAAACTGGAAAGGGGGATCTAGAATAGAGAACAGCAAAGTATACAGTGAAAGAGCCAGAAATTGCAGCCCCAAGTAATCTCCGTGCATTTGGCCCACTGAGAAAGCAATCGGTGTATCATTTCTGCCTGTCTTGCTGTTGGTTTGGGCCATGCCATGGCTAATGGGTTAAATTAACCACTGTGATAAGAAAACTAGCAGTCCTAGCTGAGAAAGGAGAGGCTCCGACAGTCTGCGTTTTGGATGGTCGGATCTTTGGTTTAAGCAGCTTTGCCTCCGGCCGGTGGCCATTCGTCAGAACCTCTCAAGAGGGTTAGTACGAAGTGTTCCTGAATAGATTGTGAGCGTCAGGGGCTTGAATGCTCTCATGAGGACTCCTTCGAGTAAAAGTAGTGGACTTGGTGGTCCTATGATAAACTGCTAGAAGGGTTAATAACCAGTAGGGCTTATCTACGTAATAGAAAGTTACTGTAAAATGCACCCTTTAATGTGTGTTTTTTAAAGGGAAGAAGAATGCCAAGCAGCCCTGTCTCTGTTTAACGGGCGATGGTACGCGGGACGGCAGCTCCAGTGCGAATTCTGCCCGGTGACTCGGTGGAAAATGGCAATTTGTGGTAAAATACAGCACGGTGGTTTCACGCCACTCGTTCCAGTGTTGGATAAGAGGGCTTTCTTAAGGGAAAAAGCGGTCTTTTAAAGGGGTGAAACATAGCTTTTGCCTCACACCGGACGAGCAGAGGTCGTCCTATAAAGGCCCTCCCGTTTTAGATCTGTAATAGACTTGTGGGTCACTTTATGGATGAGGTGACTGAAGTCCCAGTGTCTCGGTGGCGGAGTGGAGGCTAGAACCTCCGTGTTCTGGTCCTCAGTCCTGGGCTCTAAAACTTGAGGAAGCCTGGGAGTTGTGTCAGTGGGAAGCCGCGTCTTCCTCGTGGCGGTCAGAGGGACTCCCCTCACTCAAGCTTGGTTTGTTTCCCCGTCTTTATCCCTAACGAATCTCCTGTCATCTTTGCCACCTAAAACATGATAACATGTCCTGCCTCGCTCGAAAGACATGCGTTTGTGCAGTGGAGAGCGATGATGGTGGGGTGTGGTGAGGGTGCGTTCGGCCAGACGGACTCATCGCGGTGTGGCTGCCGCGTCCAGGAAGGAGTCTGTCCTTTGAATAGCTGGCAGTTTTGAAGGCCTCATTATTGTTTCGTCTCTGTCACATGGGCTTGGCCAAACTCTTTATTGTTGAACCATTCCGGGAGCAAAGAGATAGAGCGATCCGTGCCTCAGGGGAGCGCTTCTCTTCCCCTTTCCCTTTCTTGGCTTTACACTTGTCTGCTTAAAGCCTACTATTAAAAAGAATCTATGATTTTCGAATTCTTTATCTTTGGCAGCATGGTCTTAATGGATGCTGTCACTTAAAAACCATTTATTGAAGGCGGGGGGTGTGTGTGTGATAATTTAGAGTTCCTTCCTTTGGAAAGCCCAACTTTTCCGTCTTACATTTGAAAGCTTGTGGGCTGCAAGAGACGAAACTGTTTTTTCCCCAAAGGTGGTTATTTTTGTCGGTTCCTGGGAATCCAGTGTGACTTCAGTGAGGTACCTCTGGGTGTGACATTGAGACGGTTTCACGTTTTTTAAATAACCACTTTGTGATATTCCCTCGTAACTAATGACATTGAGCAGTTTTCGTGTGTCCTCATTATTGGCGATTTGTAGAACTTCTTTGGGGAGATGTCTATTTAGATACTTCGCCCCTTGTTAATTAGGTTGACTTTCTATTACTGGGTTGTAAGAGGGCTTGATCTGTTCTGCAGACAAGCCCCTTATTGCATATAGGATTTGTAAATGTGTTCTCCCATTATGCTGCCTGTTCACTTTGATCATGTCCTGTAAAGCACAAAAGGTTTTAGTTGTGATGAAATCTATTTAATCTGGTTTTTTTTCTCTTTTTTTGCTTGTGCGTTTCGTGTCCTATTTAAGAATCCATTGCTCAGCCCAGTGTCCCAAAGATTTTACTTGTATGTTTTCTTCAAAGAGTCATATGGTTTCACATCTTACATTTAGGACTCTGGTCCATCCTGACTTTTTGTTTATAACGTGTGGTGTGGAGGGATTTCACTTTTCACTGTTTTCCATATTTGGGGAATTTACCAATTGAAAAAAAAAAAGTTTGAAAACCTCACGAGGATCTCTGAATCGTTCAGATAGATTTTACCTTTGACAAGAATCTTTTATATTACAAGCACTTGGTATAAATTTAAAAGCATTTGGCCAGTGTTTACCATCTTCTTAAAGTGTAAGGCAGGGACTCTGAAGGGCTGGGTGTTCAGTGTTAGGGATTTACACTGTCCATCAGTGGGATGGTGCAACCCTAAAAAAAAGATGTGGTCACCATTTGTTCGCTTGCACTGCACACTGTCATGCAGTCGGGGAACAGGAGACTCTGGTTAATTAAAACTTCTGGCTTGTTACCTTTTCACAGTGCCATTTGTTAGAGCATTTGAATATTTTTGAAATTCTGGGAACCAGAGCTATGACATCAATTTATGTAAGCCCCTTTTATTTTCTTATTTATTTATGGAGAGACAGAGCAGGGGAGAAGCAGAGAGAGAGAGAGAGAGAGGAAGAGAGAGAACCCCAAGCGGGCTTGGAGCTGTCAGTGCAGAGCCCCATGCGGGGCTCGATCCCACGAACCGTGAGATCATGACGTGAGTCGAGACCAAGAATCAGACGCTTAACCGATCAACCACCCAAGCTCCCCTGTAAGCCCCTTTCACATACGCAGGAGAAGATAGGTCTATCACCTCCAAACATCGGCAGTGTACCCTCTGAAAAGGATCAAGTGCCAGCAGTAAATGCTGTTTCCTCACTGTGCCATTGCAGGTTTATTTGAAATACAACAGTGTCCGAGAGGAAAACACTGCAACTTTCTCCACGTGTTCCGAAATCCCAACAATGAGTTTTGGGAGGCTAACAGAGACATCTACCTGTCTCCAGATCGGACTGGCTCCTCATTTGGCAAGGGCTCAGACAGGAGAGAGAGGATGGGCCACCACGATGACTACTACGGGAGGCCCAGGAGGCGGAGAAGCCCTAGTCCGTCGCATTCCTACAAGAGAAATGGGGAAGCTGACAGGAAAAGGAGAAGCAGCCACCGGGGGAAGAAGTCTCACAAACACCTGTCCAAGAGTCGCGAGAGGCACAGTTCGCGCAGTAGAGGAAGAAAAAGGGATGGCAGCCGCATCCGGGCCAGCCGGAGCCAGAGTTCCTCCAGGTCCAGGAGTCGTGGCAGGAGGAGGTCAGGCAGCAGAGACAGGACAACGCAGAGTCCCAAATCCAAATAAACCGGTTTTGTTCCGAAATGATCGTACATCTTATTTGTGATGGCTGCTTCATACTTGGGTAGTAGAGGGCTCTGAGCTCGATGGATTAGCAAGTCCGGCAGAAAGAACCCTATTTCAAAATACTTTTATTCTCTGAGAATCAGTGTGTTTAGCATAGAAGACACAAAATGTATAGATAATGTGAAGATCACTTGTAATCCTAACCCTTGGTGATAACCAACACTGGAGCATTGCTTAAGTCTTTTTCCTCTTCTTATGGATGTGTACAAATATTTTTTACGCAGAGATCATATGTGGCTGCAGTTGAATATGCTTTTCTTCCTATGCAAAACCTCATATTTTGTCAACCCTCTTACTTTTCTCACTGCATGGTGCGGGTCTATCAGTTTTATTCAACCATATCCCTAATTGTTGGATTTTAAAGTTCTCCCTAATTTTGCACGATTAAAAGAATCCAGTGCTATAAACAATCCTGCTGTGGATCTCCTTAAATACTGTCACACGTTTCTGATGGTTTCCGTAGGATAAATTACATTACACCAAGAGACAGGACTACTGAAGCATTTACAAATTGCCCTCTGGAAAGGCTGCAAAAATTTTACTCTTTCAATAATGAATTTTTCTATTCCCACAACACCAAGTTATTTTAATCTTTGCCAATTTGGTAAAATTTTAATCTCTGCCAGTTTGGTAAATTTTATGGTTAACTCTTTGTTTCTCTATGTATTGGTTAAGCCAGACACTTTTTCTGTATTTAATCGCTGTTAAATCTGGTTGTTTGCCCTTTATTAATAATCTATTGGATTTCTCTACATGCAATAGCTGAGCAGCTTTTTGACTTTAAAACTCACTTTGCTTTAAAGTACTTAAAGGGGGGAGGGGCGCCTGGGTGGCTCAGTTGGTTAAGCGTCGACTTTGGCTCAGGTCATGATCCTCGCGGCTTGTGAGTTCGAGCCCTGCGCCGGGCTCTGTGCTGACAGCTCGGAGCCTGGAGCCTGCTTCGGATTCTGTGTCTCCCTCTCCCTCTGCCCCACCCCCGCTTGTACTCTGTCTCTCTCTCTCAAAAATAAACATTAAAGAACTAAATAAAGTACTTGAAAGGTAAAGTCAGTTTTTCCTCTCCATCCTGTCCCTTATTCACAGCGCCTTCTCAGGTGGAGGTTTAACATTGGGGGGGTTCATCTTTTTTATAGTGTGTTGGGGAGCTCTTTATAGAGAGGTAAATCTTATTTTTGTCATTTTCAGGAAAATTAGGATCCTTGCTACTGCCTACTGTTAAAGGAATTGTCATTTAAAAAACAATGGTCAGAGACCTGTTTAAAGAAAAAAAAAAAAGGCTTAAGGCCAAAAAATACCATTCTTAGATTTCAGATCACAAAGAAGAAAAGATGCTCTCATACTTCATATGTTTTTAATTTCCTTAGTAACCTTTCCATTGACATACTGGAGATACTGAATTTCAGAGTATGTGGCATTTGGCAACTTGAGATTTGGAAATAAGGATGCACAAAATACTGAAGCCAACAGAGGAAGAGAAATTTCAAGATTGGGATTTCTGAGTGGTTATCTGTTGAAAATGAGTTCTTAAAAAAAAAAAAAGAAAAAATGAGTGCTTCAGTATGTAGTCTATAGAAGTATGGTCCAGGTGTGCCTGGGTGGCTCAGTCAGTTGAATGTCCGACTTCGGCTCAGGTCATGATGTCACAGTTCGTGGGTTTGAGCCCTGTGTTGGGCTCTGTGCTGATAGCTCGGAGCCTGGAGCCTGCTTCGGATTGTCTCCCTCTTTCTCTGCCCCTTCCCCACTCGTAACTCTGTTTCTCACAAATAAACATTATAAAAAAATTTTTTTAAAGTATGGTCCAGAAATTATTTTACCTTACAAATTGATTTGTTCAACTTTTTTTTTTTTTTTTTTTTTTTTCAACATTTATTTATTTTTGCGACAGAGAGAGACAGAGCATGAACGGGGGAGGGGCAGAGAGAGAGGGAGACACAGAATCGGAAACAGGCTCCAGGCTCTGAGCCATCAGCCCAGAGCCTGACGCGGGGCTCGAACTCCCGGACCGCGAGATCGTGACCTGGCTGAAGTCGGACGCTTAACCGACTGCGCCACCCAGGCGCCCCTGATTTGTTCAACTTTAAATGCTTGCTTTACCCTAAAAACGATTGAAAACTGTCATTATCTACTGGACTCACTAATGCAGAATAACTATCCCTAAATCCAGTGTTCTTCAGTACTTTCCTAAATATAGTCAAGATATACACAATTAAAGGTGGTATTCCGAGCTGAATGGCCTTCACAGATCATGGAGGACAAAAGAGGATAAACACCAGCTTATGCTCAAGGTAATTATGAGATGATGGGGTCTTTTCCCTTGGGCATTCATGGGCATTGTGTGGAGGGAGGGAAAGGGCAGTTTTTAAACCACTTGACTGGTTCATTCGAGTGTGCATCTTGAACTTAAATGTATTACTGTTTTTTAAATTTATAACGTGATTTCTATTTATGATTTAAAAATTCCAGCTCTACATTGCCAGCAGAAGCCCATCAGGCCTGTTTCCAGTGAATAAACCAACTGAGTATTGGAGACTAAGTCTGCAAGTATCTTTTTAGCAGACTAGAAACTTGATGGTAGTTGATCCTTTGTTCTTTACCATCCTTGCTTTAGTATGTAACATTTCCCATCTGCACTTAGGAGGGGGTCTCTTAACTATCATGATAACCAAAGTTTTGAGTTGCTGCTTATATTAGGCAGTAGTTTGCAAACATCAGTTCATTTTGGCAAGTGTGCTAGCCTCTCCGGGGCTTGGGGGAATGGGGATCCGGCTGATGTGCAGTACCTTCGCTTACCTGGAGTAATCAAGAGTTGCTCATTCAGAAAGAGTAGAAAAGTCAACTGCATCAAGGTTTTAAAAGCAGCATTTATTGATTGAAAATAAATGTGTGGATAGGCTCTCAGCATGGAATCCACATTATTTTTTAATGAGCTTGAAGTACATGAAGACTCCTTACATCTTCCACCGTTTATCTTGTGTGTGCTTTTAGCAACCACATTGAAACGGAGATGAATTTTTGACATTTGACTGAAAAAATGTAAAATTCTTTAAGCAGCTCCCCATAGTTGATAAACCTTTGCAAAGAGAAAGATAAAAACACACTACAATGGTATACGTTGAACATTTATTACAACCAATTGGTGATGTGATAAGACAGTGCTAACATGGCCCGAATATGTATTGGTCACAATCACAACAAAGCTTAATCCAGCCCAGCAGATACAAATGAAAAGTGTAAACCATGAAGACATGTTTACATACACAGAAGTATGTATAAAAGTGACATTGAAACAATTGTACAGCTTTAAAAAATATAGGGCCCACGAATGCCATTTTACCTCATTCGACTATCACTTTTATATGAAAGGTGGTGTCTGCTTTTAGAAGATTTCTGATAACTAGGCAGTGCCATGGAAGGGAATGAAGCTGCCCTAACGTTTGCAGCACTTGTAAGTGGAGGGAAGCTAAATAAATTTGGCTCTAACAAGCACCCCGGAAGGAATATTCGTGCTTTAAACAATGACTTAAGCAACACTCTGTGAAGAGAAGAAACATGTTTTCTGTAAGATGCTGTTATGAAGAATTCCAGGTTACGTCAATGTTTCCTTTTTTATTTGGGGGCATCAAAAACCATCTAAGTCACTACATGGTTATGACCACAAAAAAATCTGTCTCAGGAGTTGAATGTTCCTTGGCCTTAAAAATAACGTGCTCACTATTAGTTGCTCTCTGTTCCTCGTCCCAGGTCTGGAATGCCAGGGAAAGATCTTTTAGTGTAAAACACACCATTTCAATTTAGTCATTTGTGTATTCCCTTTAAGTATGTAGTTTCCAATGAGGGTCTTTGGTATAAATTTGGTTCTCTGTTTTAAAGTTTCAACATAAACAGTTAAATTTTAATTCATTTGATATGTATCAATTCCCTTTATCCTCAGATATACTGAAATGTCCCACACTAGTCTTTGGTTTCATATAACCAGGTTTCATATTATAATTTTTAACAGTTTCCTTTGCCAAAGACCGTAATTAATGAATGTAGCTTGCCTAATTGTGTCATTCTCATAGATACATAATCAGATTGAGAGAAACAGATTTAAAAACTAAAATATCCAGAAAAGGTACCTTTCTTTTTCTGCATCATTCTAACTCATGTTTAAGTCCCTTATCACTTGATTAACCAAAGTTCCCTTTAAAAAAATTTTTTTTGTGTGTAGGCCTGAATGAAGCAGCTTAGCAAAACAGTAATACTGACAAGACGTCATCTTATACCATTAGCTAACATGGACATGAAGGCAGTGACCATCTACAGTGTGTGAAATGTCACAAGAAGTCATCAACAAGGGAGGTGAGTTATGTCAGTCCAATTTCTTCAAGAACACTACGTGGGGTTTCAGCTTCCTGTGGAGGGAAAATGTGAGACTCTGGTAAGCAGATCCGCGGAAGCTTGAGAGTGTGAAATTGACACGGAGGGATGTGCAAGTTTCAGAGAACAATGCAAGCAGTTCATTGGTTTGGGCACAGTCTAAAACTGAGAGCAGGCGGTTATTCAGGGTTGTGGACCCCAAAAGACCACAGAAGGGTATTTTCAGCATGCATTAAATACCCACTAATTACCTACCAATGTGCTGGGTACCATCGCTGTAACACAAAAAGCAGTCAAGCCCGCTGGCAATTTAGGAAATCATTGCTACTGAATTAGCTACAGGAAAAGTAAGTTATCTTTGTGTTAAAATTCAAAACCTCCCCTAAATAAAAAGCAGGGAAAACCCCGAGTTCTTCTGAATCTTCACATAATGTTGTTTCCCATGGCCCCCTTTTTTTTTTTTTTTTGGTCATGTGTATTCATAGAAATGTCTTACTCTGAGTTTTTACTCAGTTTTTAACTTAACTGTCCCCAGCAGCATGGCTTCAGAAACTCACCTTCCCAGACCTCTCCAAGGCAACCAATGGCTTTGGTGAGGCAACACAGAAAGAATACCTGGGGACAAAGGCATTTTTGTCCTATGTAACAATCAATATTCATTTTTAAATGTCAAAGGAAGACAAGACAAAGCAGGCATATCTAGAAAAAAATTACTTAATATTCCAAAGTGGCTGATTCTGCATATCACAAAATAGGACCAGGTCAGATTCAGGGGTTACTTGCAATAATTCTGTAATTAAAAGGCATACTAGAATTTAATGGAGAAAACGTAATTTTTAGTATCCAATAACAAATTAACTTACTTTTGCATCCTAATTATGGTACAGCACAAAACAAGGAAAAGAACAATATTAAACCACAAATCCATACGTTAGATTTAATTGCATGTAAAGCAGTACATGGAATAATCTTAAGTAAATTAAACGCTAGTCTGTTTCCGTATTTGGATAGTACTTACCTTCATATAGAGATTTGAGGGAGAGAAGGCTTAGTGCCCAACTTCTAGAAAGTGCTCAAAAAAATGTCAACCGATAACATTACACAACTGAGACCTAACTGAAGGTATTTAGCATTTAGTACTAAATAAAGTACTATAAATCAACTCTGCATATAAAGTTTTTATGGTAACCTTTTAGTAGGTGTGTTTACTAATGAAAAATGGGTAAAAAATCAGCTTTGGTTAAAGAAAAAAATTCTGAAGTATTCTTGCCCTCGCCACCCCTCCCCCCAACGAAACCTCAGCTTAACCAGGCTACACATCAAAATGTATATGGTGGATAAGCAAACAAGTTAAACAGCGCCACAAGATTACAACCCGCTGGAGGACATTCTACAACATAGGTGACTCGGTTTTAAAAAAATGGCAAGGAAAAAAAGCAGACGAGTTGTTAAAGATGAAAAGACTTAAAAGACATCAACCAGATACAACGTGAGCCTTGTTGGAAATCTGGTTCTAACCAAGTATAGAAATGCATTTTCAACAATTAGGAGAAATTGAACCAGGAACAAGTATTAGGAATTACTGTCAATTTGGGGGGCGGGGGGAGGACTGTGGTACTTCCTTCTCCTGGTGATACATATCGAAGGATTAAAGATGAAATAAGAGGTCTAGGGCTTGCTCTAAAATACTGAGGCAAAAATGGGGGTGGGGGGAAATGGATGACGAAACAAGCATAGTACTAAGAGTACTGAGCTGGTGGTTGCTGAAGCTGAGTGATGTGCACACAAAGGTTCTCTTTTATTTGCAGGTCTCAGAGTTTTCACGATACAGTTTAAAGAAAGTCTAATGGAAAGATGCAACAGTCCCAAGAATCATGTAAGCCAGTTTCTTTCCCTTCTCATGTTTAGCCTCAGACATTACATATACGGTACTGACATCTGAATCACATATATCTTAAATAAAGGAAACAATTTAAAAACAATCGTTTCCATTTAGGCCTTGAACTGTAACCAGTCCATTTACATGCGGACTTTGTTACCATATGGTAACTCTGTTTTCCTTAGGATTTTCTTAACATTTTTTCTCTAGCTTACTTTACTGTAAGAATATGGTATATAATACATATACAAACGAGGTGTTAACTGAATGTTCAGGTTGTCGGTAAGGCTTCCAGTCCACAGTTGGCTGTTAAGTTTTTGGGGGAGTCAAAAGGTGTATGTGAATTTTCAATTGCCTGGGAGGGTTGGCGCTCCTAACCCACTCATTGTTCAAAGGTCAACTGTAATGTTAAATTGTCTTTAAAAACACCATACAGCCTTTAATGCATTTATTAAAAGATGCCTACATTGAATTCCATGCAGGTAACATTCTTCACTTATCCATGTAAGAATGACTCCCATTCTATTCCCCGGAGCTGGTCAGACTTCCCCTATGTCCTTACTGCCTGTAATCCTATATGGCATTTCCTGAAGAGAACCATGTTGCGTGTCCCATATGCATTATTTAAAATATATGTCCTTTCCAAAAGGCCTACTTAAAAGCAATCAGTTACATATTTGATTCCTTGAGACTTGTACTATTTGTACATTAGTTTTTTTTTTTTTTTTACAAACTGTGTTCATAATATAAAATGTAATTTTGCCATGTTCACACTGAAATTGTAGCTCAAAATTACCTAGAAAAACTATTCTCTAAAGTAATCAAATTCATAGAAACAAAGTAGAATGGTGGTTACCAAGGGCTGAGGGGAGGGATGGGGAGTTGTTTAATGGCTACGGTTTCAGTATGACAGGATGAAAAATTTCTGGACATCAGCTGCACAACGTGAATATACTTAACAGTCCTGAACTGTACATTGAACAGAATTTGCCAGCTTAACCATTTTTATGTTTTTTAAATATGTTTAATAAAATTACCTGGAAAAACTAAAGTGTAAAATATATTTGTCAAAAGGGATGGAGAAGAAAAAAGTCATTCACATGAGACAAAGTACATGCAATACTTTTATTTTAGACGTGCAAGAAAAGCGATTTCAGAATCTACTAATTTAAAGCAAGCAGCTGTATACAAATAACAAAAGAAGCAACATCTTGTTACAGCTCAGCACACAGCATCCAAAGCAAACAGGCATGAGACAATGCATATTCAGCATTAAAACCAGATGAATAACATATTGCAGGGTTGGGGGAGGGGCAGAGGACAACAATGGAAATGAAAGACCAGTGTCTCCCAATGCTTTCAAGGTATAATGCTAAGTTTCTCATTTGATAGCCCATCCAGGTGCTTCAAATGTCATGCAGTACAGCGAGAATGGAAAGAACTGGTCTGCATACCTGCCTAATAGACACTCTCATAGGTCGTCTTTCAGTGGTAAACCTGTTTGAGCATCTTTTGAATTGGTTTAATGATAGCTTACTTAATCAGGCTTTAAACTCTCTACATATAAGCAATGAATTATTGGATACTTTTCCTTTTATAATAAGTTGCACGTTTTAAAACTATACACCATAATCAATATTAAGTCTTAATATTTAGAATATAAAACTATAGTTAACAAATCATTAAGTATTTAAATGAAGACAATCTATTATAAAACCATCACTAGTAAAATACTAGTATTTAAACTGTATTAGGATTTTAACTATATAAACAAACTCAGTATTAACATTTTGAAAAGGTTATTTCCTATTAAACAACAGATACTGTAGAAGAGACTTCTAACACAGTTTTCTGATCATTCTTAAAGGGACTGTTCAATATTGTGTGGCACAAATGTGATCCAATGTACATGGCATTACAAACTTAAGAACTGTGAATGTTTCACCCTTAAATATTATGTAATAGTACAGATTTTACTTTCTTGAATTATTTCCAAATATACTTTTATGTGATACGTTAGAATACATTAGCTCACAGAGAGCTGTAATACAGTCACACTAAATAGAATTTCTTTTCTCCCCCAACATCTGAAGACCAAGTCACAATGTATGTTACGACACTGTTTATTCTGCTGTAGCACTTCTGCTATATGCTCTTTGGTAAAAACTTTAACGATTGCTAACGTTTCCTCTTACAAGATGAATCATGTACGTGTTTAAGGTGAAATACTACTCAAAACATTCATAGGCCATATTTCAGGAAGAAATTAAACCAGTTGAGAGCAGGAATAAACTATATCAAGATCATATATAGAATGAAAATCAGAGAAATGACAGGAAAAAAAATTACAATGGTGAAGGTATTGATTCTGAAATGATTATACAAGATAATCAGTCACCAAGCTGAGGGCATTTTCTTTCATAAGTATATCAGCTCTCTATTTCCTCTGTGCAATTCTGCATACACGATGAGTAGTCATTTAGTACACAGGGACATTAAAATATTCATGACGTGGCTACAAAAGAAATGCATATATTCTTATACAGTATACAAACTGAGAGACACAATCAGATTTCTAGAATGTTTACTGCACAGTAAAGAAAATGGAAACTTAAATTTTTGTTTTTGTTCTTTGGTCTGTGGCTGAATATTTAGCTTATAAACAGTGCTAAAGGAGTTCAGATTCCTCTTTTAAAAACCTCATATAATGATAATCAAATGGTCTATGTCCTACAAAATCCAAAAGCACTGTATTTACTAACAGGCTGAAAAGATTTTCAGTGTAAAGTCATCTGGTCAGTACTGAGTTAACTGAAAGTTCAATTAGAACACTACCTCCCGCCAGTCTTCAAGTATGTCAGGATTTTATTACACAAAGTAAAGGAATTTAATCCGTTAATGAAAATCGTTACATCCTAAGGTGACCATAAACTCTTTTACAGATCCTAAAGGAAAATCTTTCCCAAGAAGTAGTGGAAAAGCAGTCACCCATTTGGTATTTTAAGTAGCAATGGAGGTTTTTAATGTTTGACTTAGCTTTAAAAAAACAGAACAAAAAGAAAACAAAAAACAACAACAAAAACTCCAAAGACAATGGCTTTAAGACTGAGGATATTACTTTTTAAATAATCCTCAAGATAGATTATAAAGAAATCT